GTATCAAGTAACCCCCACCTCCACTGTAATTTAAGCCCATTGCTACTTGACCTATCATCGAAGGTCAAGGAGAAACATTTTTCTCCCTTCTCCTTGAAAGATATGATGTCCCCTCTGTTGTCTTTTCCAGACTAAACAAACCCAATTCTTTCAATCTTCCCTCATAATTCATGTTTTCGAGACCTTAAATCATTTTTGTTCTTCACTGGACCTTCTCAAATATTTCTCCATCTTTCTTGAAATGTAGTGCTCAGAACTGGACACAGTACTCCAGTATTGTGCCCAGAATACTCCATGGTTCAGTGCAGAGTAAAGCAGAAGAATTACTACTTTTGTCTTGCTTAGACTACTCTCATTGATACATCACAGAACATTTGCATTTTTTGCTACTGTCACACTACCTCATATCTAGCTTGTGATCCACTATGGCTCCTAGATCTCTTTCTGCAGTATTCCTGCCTACTAGGGATGTTAAGAAGTGGATGTTTCACTAATCACGTAATTGATAAAATTTGTATTGACTACACAATTAGTCGATAAGGGAAGATGCTCAGTCCTGGTTGTACCAGATCTGGGAGCTACCCCTCCTGTGGCTCTGCAGTTTAAATGTAGTAAGAGCTGGGCACCAGGTCCAGCTGGGACCTACCTGCGGACAGGGGCTACTACTGGAGCAGACTCACTACCAGAGGCTGCTTCATGGCAGCCTTCCCTGGTCTTCCCACCCCTGCTGCCTCTGATTGCGGTGCTGCCTTGCCCCCACCATGCTGTTGCCTCTGCGATGGTGCTAGGGGAACCAGCTTTTAAGCCATCTCCTCCCCCTCCCCGCCAGCACCAGCTCCTACTCTCTCCGCCCCCCCCCCCCAATTCTGCGGCCTTTGTATCAGGTAGCAAGAGGGGGGTAAATGCGAGTAGTTGACTAGATTAACCACTATCTCTAAGATTATCAGTTAATCAACTACTCCCTTATATCCCTACTGTCTATATAGTCCTTTCCCATTTTATGTTTGCAACTACTTGTTCCTTCCTAAATACTCTGCATTTGCCCTTATTCTTTGTACTCTTGTTGTTCACAAGATGCTTAGTGTCACCCCTCCTGAAAGACACAAGTTTTGCTGGGGCAAGTGGCAGTGTGAGCAGTTTTTTATTCACGGAAGTATATTCCAGTCGACAATGGGAACCCTGCTCATAGGGGGATGGAAGTATCTTATCAGCAAAAGTGCTGACAGTGTTTATACTGCCAAACTTTTAGCAATTGCAGCCATGTCGCTAAAAGCTGCATAGTGTAGACCAAGCCTTAGTAATGGCACAACTTATGGGAGAAGGGAGAATATTTATATTGTAATTTGCATTGTAGCAGAAAATTTCTTTTAGTGAAGACTCATTAATTAAAAAGATGGACAAGTTACTGTCTGGAACTAATAAAGGTGACGACTTCAAATGGCTTGTTGTTTAATATGAGTTTGAAATAGTTTGCCATGCTAGTTCAAGAATTCTTTTTCTGGATTTTAGTGGTCTGGAATGTCCAATTGATTAAAAATTAGTATCAAGTAGCCTCAACTCCTCCACCTACTCTGCGTAATATGATGCATATAATGAAACAAGATTTAAGATTTTACAATTTTTTGGTGGGGGGG